AATACGTACCCTGGACGATTGATGCGAACAACGGGCTTCTGGTATGGCCCAGGTTTCACCAAAGTTCAAATAGTAAGAAATAATCACACACTGAGTTTATGGTTGGATAGTTTACAAATTGTTTAGTAACACTTATTACGAATAATAATTTTCTTGATGATTGTTCGCAACGCTGCATCCACTCGCGCACTTTATTAACACTCCCCGGGATTGTCACAGATTGTGACATTCTCAAGTGTCTTGCCCCGTCCTAAGCACGATGAGATGTGAAATTTCCATTTTTCACTCCTTTTTGTGAGACGTTCCTTACAGAGTTGGTCTCGTCAACGTGATGTGAATTTTCCAAAACCGCCTGAATTGTTGAAAATTTTGCTTTAGACTGTTTCGTCCAATCCTGTTGGTGCAGTTTTGATGTAAATTTCTCACAATTAGATTTTAGACTAATTCGGTTAGGTTCCCGGGCCTCCCGGGCGACAGTTTTCCACCTTGACGTGGTGCCCGGGCTTGAGAACCGTAATGATCCGAGGGGCTATGCCGGCGGGACTTTGGTCCTGGCAGGTTCTACCTTGCTGGACAGGCCTTTGGGAAGCGGTCAGACTAAAAGGAAACCAGTAGCTTTGCCTCTTCAATGAGAGGCTCGGGTAGGATAAACAGGGATACCGATTTCTGTGGGGTACTTGTGGGAATGAGCGGGCCAAAGCATCTGGTCCACTTTGTGCGCGCATGCGGCGGTCCAACATCCTCTCGGGTTCGCGCGTATATTCGTCCGGGTAAATGGGAGATGCATGGCTGACGGTCTTGTCCCGATGTCTATGCTATCTCACCGACAGAGGTCTGCCTTCCCTCTCGTATAAAAACGCGGAGGCAGGGACTCGGGTAGGAGGAGATGGATCGGCACATAAGTCGAGCCTCGGGCTCGTGATGCCACACATCTCACCAACAAAGGTCAAGCCTTCCTCTCGTATAAAAACGCGAACAGCTGTCGCGGGTTTAGAGGCCGCGAAGGGTGGGTGGTAGGGGGGTAAGGCTACGTGCTCAGGGGCCGTCTCTCTCCCCTGCAAAATAATAAGAGAGTATAGGGCTGAGAAAGGTACGTCCTCAGGGGTCCGTCCTCTACCCTGCAAAATAATTAGAGGGTCGACACTTGGGAGGAGCTACGTGCTCAGGCGGCAACCTTCCGCCTGCGAAATAATAGAAGGGTCAGGCGTCGTTCCTTCCGCCTGCTAAATAATCGAAGATCTAGGGTGGGGACTAGGCTACGTGCCCAGGCGTCGTTATTCCCGCTTGCAAAACAATAGGAGCCTAGTGGGTCCGGCGTTGAGTGGATGCATGAGAGTGTGTGTGTGCGTGTTTACTTAGCTCGCCTCTGTGATGTGAGGCGCCGGGTAGGTGTGTGTGTGGGTGTGCGGGGGACTTATCCCCGCGCACATCGGGGGGCGCGGATACCTTGGAATACCGATCCCTGTGGACGGGGGTGTTCTTCCGGGCCAATGCATCCGCGCGCCAAGGCGCGCGCATGCGGATAGACCGGCATCCCCCTCGCGATCGCAAGTGGATAAGCCCGCGTGGGTTTTAACGGGGTGGTTCCCCTTTTTCCCTTAGCTCTGGCCTCTCTATGAGAGGCCGCGGGTAGGTATGGCGTGCGCGGGTGCTACCGTTTGCCTGCGCAGGGCGCGATACCCAGGGATACCGATCCCTGAGGGCGGAATGATCCGGGCCAATGCGTGCGTACACGCGGAAGGACCGGCAATCCAATGGGCGTTATCGCGAATAGGATCGGGTAGGCGGGGAATGCATGGCTGACGGACATGTCCCGATGTCTATGTTATTTCACCAACAGGGGTCTGCCTTCCCTCTCGTAAAAACGCGGAAGCAGGGACACGGGGGGAGATAGACCGGCACTCTCCTTCGGGAGGCTAGATGCCACACATCTCACCAACAAGAGTCGAGCCTTCCTCTCGTATAAAAAGGCAAAGGCTGGCGCGAAAGGGGGGACATAAATGGGGGGGGAACTTAGGTTGTTTAGCTTTTAGTTTATAAATCCCGCGTGTAGGTACACTTGCGTGCAAGGGGAGCATGGTTGCCGGTTGGCCGGTTCTCGGTCTGAACTTGAGGTTCAGACCGAGCAGTGACTTGAGGTTCTTTTGCACTTCTGGGAGGCGGGAAGGCGTCCGGTTGCCGATGCCGGCCAGGAGGGGCCGTAACGCTCGGTGACTGGTGCTCCACCAACAGGGGTCTGCATTCCCTCTCGTATAAAAACTCGGAAGCAGGGACACGGGTAGTGGCGGTGGATTGGCACGGAAGTCGGACCTTCGGGTGCGTGATACCACACACCGACCAACAGGGGTTTGCCTTCCCCTCGTATAAAAACTCGAAGGCAGGGACACGGGTAGAGGTCAAGTCGTCTTGGCCATGACAGGGGTCCGGCTTACTTTGTATAAATATTTGAAATACGGTCGGGTCGGTGGTGCCTCCGCAGCATGGCAAAGCATCTCCGAGGAAAATGGCGCTGCTTGACCGGTGACAGTACCTATCAATCGGCTTTCAGTTTGGCCGTAAGCCGGGGTAGCCCTTTGCGGACTGGCTGCTCTCGCTGGGGTCGGGCGCTTCTCCCATGCCCCGCCGGGTGTAGAAAGTTGCCCCGTGTATGGGGTTTCCCCGGTTGTGGTTCGGGTGGTGCGGTGCGGTGCGGCTGGGACCCGCTGGAGCCGGGGGCTGCGCTGCTCGTTCGCGCGGCCGGGGTGCCTCGCGGGGGTCTGTCGGCTGAGAAAGGGGCTGTCGCTACTACAGGCTTTCGCCTAGCGGGGGTTCCACATGATCCTGCTATAAAACTATCTCATGTGTGGCTTGCGGGGGTAGGTTAAGGTGCCAGGGGTCCCGATAACAGTGCAATTGGTACCTGATTGGTATGGGGTTGCCTCTTTTCCGGCGGGCGAGGTAGATCGCAAGGAGGCTCGAGGAGGCAAGAAATCTGGACGCTCCCATTACTGATGGCCCCGGGTGGGGTCCGCCAGGGGGGGGGGAGCGAAAGGAGGACTCTTAAGCCCATTTTTATCCCGGCCGATTTCCTCCCACCTTGTCGGTGGCCGGGCTTGGGAGCGGTAAAGGGAAGGGGCTACACTGGCGGGGACTCCGTTGAGTCCCTGGCATGGTCACCCTTGCCAAGAAGGCCTTTCCCCAAGCTCCCGTACTAAGAGAGTAAATAGAAGAAGAAAAACCTCGAACAAAAACCCGAAGTTCCGAGCTTCGTTAGCCCTTGATGCCGGGGCAACTGGGATAGGGGAGACAACCTTGACTTCAAATCCGGGGACGTCCGACCCCGTCAGCTACGGTGCAATCGGACTAGGGGAGTAAACCCTGAATTCAAATCCGGGCAGACCGAGTTCGTTAGGCTTGGATGTCAACCGTCCTAGGAGAAGGTCACTCCAAAATTAAACCCCCTTAAAATCAATGATGATGGACAGTACACAGGAGATCTTACCAGACCAGGGTGACCGAACACCCAGGTTCCGGCAGTTTGGGGGTCAAGGCCCTGCCCCCGTTCGGTCGTCATCATACGAGAGGTTGACAGGATCGTGCGACGCAGGCGATCCTGTCTCCGATGCTACTGCGGATAGCGGTCTTGGGAGGTTTTGGAACCTGGTGCGTCCGGAAGATGACGCTATGAATGCCAGCCAGGGCTCGAAAAAAGGCAGTCGCGGCGCGACACAGGAGGCGCTTGCTGCTCCTCTTATGGTGGACTCGTCGACAGATGAGGATGCTCGCTTAAGGGCGGCCGATATTATGAGGAGCCGATTGTTGCCCTTCTTCGACTACATCCGGAGTTGGGCAAAGCAAGGCGGGCAAAAAGAAAAAGCGCGGCAAGGCATCTAAGGCCGCAACAGGAGGCTCCAGCGCGATCATCTCGATTTCGGATGACGACAGCATGGAGAGCAGAGCGGATTTGCCAGGCCCCTCGCGGAGAGAGCGATGGCGCAGAAGAGAAAAGCAGCAGAATACCGCTGCCAAAGAGCTGCCCAGTTTTGCCATAAACGCGCGCAAGCGGAAGATCGCGCGCCTTGGCAGTAGCGAATCGGAGGGCCTTCTATCTGCATGTGAGCAGGAGATGGACTCCGAATGGTATTCCAAGCCAGCTCAGAATATCGTGGCTGTGATGCAGGCCAAGGCGGAAAAATTTAAAAACCAGGTACGCAGGTGCGGCAACCTCAAAGGCAGTTTCCAGCAAAACTTTAATGCCTTCGCGAACGAGGTCGTTAGTGCTGTTGAAACGCTGCATAAATGCGCAGAGGAAGCAGGTGACAGTACTCTACAAACGCGCATGTATGCGACTGAGAACGATGCGGAGCAGGCGAAAACCAGGCTTTGCCATCTGGAGGAAGAGCACAACCGGCTCTTGGAAGAGGTGCATCACTTGCGCTCAGACGTGCAAGCCGCCGCGCTTTCTCCTCCTCCACCTCAGAGGCCGATGGGCAGGGAGATGGCAATCCAAACGGATCCCTCCCCTGTCATCACATCCATCACGGCTCTCCCACCGGGGACCATCATCCCCCCGGCGGTGAGACCCAAGGTGCAAGGGACCGCCAGGGTCATCGACGGACCAAGGGTCGTGCGGGAGGAAGGCAACATGGATCTTTGAACCACCGTGAAATTCATAGTTGCAGATGAAATAAAAGAGATGAAGGCCCTCCTGAACAAGATCCTCCGCAGCGCGTCGGAGGACGGAAGGGAGAAGAGGAGGGAGGAGGAAGGCGCTGAAGCGCAGTCACCGTCATTGATGGCGGGGCCATCGGGGAGGCGATCCAACCCTTTGGGTGGCCTTGCTTTAGCGCGAGACAGGAAGGAGGAGAGGCGCGAGAACCACGCCGGCTCTGACGGGTAACCCGCCAGGGGGTGCTTCCACCCTGCAGCCAAGCGTGGATCCCTCCACCTCGAAGGGAAAGGGAGAGGAATGGGCAATTGTTACACGCCGCCGTGCCAAAGCGCAGAATAAGGAGAGGCAGATGCGCAAAAAAGAGGACAACAACACCTTTCAAACCGCGCGAGCCCCGGTCAGTAAAGGGGCTTTTGGTGGAGGCCTTCGGGCACCCGCCTCGGGACCCTCACAGCGACAGTCGTCGAGAGGACGGCAACTACCACAAGGGCCTGGCACGCGTCGCCGGCGAAGAGGTCATCCGGCGGCGGTGGTCATCCGGAATGCACAGGCGGAAGGAGAGGGTGAGCAGGCGTCTTACGCCAGTATTATGCGGCTCGCCAAGGAAAAAGTCTCTCTTCTTGACCTGGGAATCGAAGATACCCGCATCAGGCGAGATGCGAGAGGAGGTATCCTTGTCGAGATTCCCGGAATTGATGGGGCAGTCAAGGCGGACGCTCTGGCCGAAGCACTTGTCCCGATTCTCCAGGGAAAAGCCAATGTCACCAGGCCGATCCGGCGAGGAGAAGTAAGAATCGTCGGCCTTGATGTTTCGATCTCGCCGGCCGACATCCAGGAGCGGATTGCATCGGGCGACTTTGGAACGTGCCGTCGTCCCGATGTAACGGTGGGCCCGATCACTTAGGGCCGGGATCGTCTCGGGATGACTTGGGCCCGCTGCCCATACGAAGTGGCCGCCAAGCTGGCCGACTCGGGCCGCCTTCGTGTGGGCTGGTCCAGCGCGCGGGTGGCACTCCTGCCGGGCCGCAAACTCCAGTGCTTCAGATGCCTAGAGTTTGGCCATGTCTGGCAGGCGTGCAGAAACGACGTGGACCGCAGCGGTACTTGTTACCGTTGCGGTATAGATGGGCATATTGCCCGAAACTGCACGGGAGTAGCGCGCTGCGTTCTGTGTGCAGAGCGCAACCTGCCAAACGGTCACCAAATCGGCGGGGAGTTCTGTCTATCCCGGGACAGGGGAAGAAATGCCCCTCCCAAAGGGAGCAACGGCGCCGTACGGAGTATGACGGACCATGGCGAGGCCATGGAAATAGAACATGGACCGGGTTCTACAAATTAATGTGAACCATAGCGGTCCAGCGCAGGCCCTGGCACTCCAGGTTCTGCGGGAGGAGAGGGAAGGAGTCCTCGCTATTGCGGAGCCACATAGAGTCCCGGACTTCCCGGCTTGGGCCGGGGACTTGGACAACAGGGCGGCAGTTACGTGGTTCACCCACCCGGGCGGCCGACCCATGCGCGGAGTCCTTGAAAGAGGCCACGGATTTGTGGCAGTTCGGTAGGGGCGGGTGGCTCTTGTTGCCTGCTATTTCCCACCGAGCATGTATGCGGTCGACTTCCGCGAGGGACTAGGGGCCCTCGCGGACAGCATCCGACGGGTGGGAGGGGATCCGGTGCTGGTACTTGGCGATTTTAATGCCAAGTCCAGTACCTGGAGTTGCCCTCGCACAGATAGAAGGGGTCACGAGGTCGATAGGTGAGCGGTCGAGCTTGGCCTGTACGTTTTAAACGCGGGTCGGGCTCCGACATGTGTGCGCTCCCAGGGGACGTCCATTGTCAACCTCTGCTGGGGCTTTGCGAGTGTCCTGCCGCTGGTGCGAACATGGCGAGTGCTCGCTAGGAGCGAGTCCCTCTTCGACCACCGGTACATCACCTTTGGGGTGGCCGGTGGTCAGGGGGGAAAGGCTCCGAGAGCTCGACCGGCGAGGTTCCTTTGCTGGAAGATCAAAGAGTGGGACCTCAACCGGTTTGAGGCCACAGTGGTTGGGGCGGTATGGGGAAACCCCATAGCCCCGGACTGGGACGCTGAGAGAGAGGCGGCGTGGCTCACCCAAACTGCCATTGACGCGTGCGACACGTCGATGCCGAGGGTTCGCGGCACAGTAGATCGCAAGTCCACCTACTGGTGGAGCGAGGAAATCGCGGACTTGCGGCGAAGGTGCGTTATGCATTGCCGCAAGTACACTCGAGCGGCTTTACCACCGACCTGGCGCAGTGGAGATCCTCCGCATAAGGCTTCGGGAGGCACAGCAAGAACTGCGGAAGGCGATTGCCGCTGCGAAAAAGTTTACGTGGGAAGAACTGACCGCAACCCTGGACAAGGACCCCTGGGGCATGCCCTATAAGATTGTTCTGTCCAGGCTGCGGTCAGCGAGACCCTCCACCACCGAAGTGATGGAGGTCGAGGAGGTGATACGCGCGGTGGAGGGTTTGTTTCCCACCCGCGACGGGGGTCCCTCGGGATTGGATGGCCGAATCCCGTGGAGAAAAGGCTACGCCGTCACGGCGGACGAGCTAAAGTCCGTCGTGCGCAAGATGGCGGGGCGAAAAACCGCACCGGGACTGAATGGTCTTATGTGCCCGGTGTGGGCACGAGTTGCGGCGTTGGCACCGGATTGCCTGATCCGGTGTTTTAACAAGTGCCTCAAAGAGGGAGCCTTCCCCGGTGTTTGGCGCCAGGCCAAACTGGTCCTGATACCCAAGCCGGTACAGGCTGGAGCGGCACCGTCGTACAGGCCCATCTGCTTGCTTGCAGAACTGGGCAAGCTATTCGAGCGGGTAATAGCTCGCCGAATTGAAGAGAGCCTGGAGAGGCAAGGTGGCCTCTCGCCGGAGCAGTTTGGATTCCGTCCCAGACTGTCCACGTTGGACGCTATACAGCGTTTCCGTGGCGTCGCGGAGGGATTTACGCGAAAGGGTGGACAGTGCGTGGCAGTCAGTTTTGACGTGCGCAACGCATTCAACACCCTCTCGTGGGGGGTGCCATTCGAAGCGCCGCACGGTGGTGGGGCTTCCCCGTGTATCTACGCGCGGTGCTGGACAGTTACTCGTCCAACAGGTTTGTTCGGTTCCCGTGCGCAGACGGGAAGGTTAGGTTGTGACCGGGGTTAGGCGTGAGTAAGGTCAAGGACTTACTACTTAAGATGTTTATCACGGTCGCCAGCTGCTGTTTGCCCTCAGCAACAAGGGTAGTTGCCCCTCCGATACGTCTCCGGGGTGTACGTCCTCCCTCAGTATCCTGAGAATTGGCAGGAATAATTGCGCACTTGCACAAATCACTTTCACAACGAGTTTTTTCACAAATACGTATATTTTGACATATATATGAGTATACACAATGTTTTGTACACTTATTACTAATTATACTGAACGCACAAGGATCTTTATTAACAACGCCCGCGTTAATTACGTTGCAGATCGAGCCTACGAAGATTTTATTACGCACGAGTATCCGATGAAGCATCTGTATCGCGCGAGCTTCGATATTCGACTGACTAGAGAAGATGGCCGTCTCTCCTTCTCGGCTCTAAAGCCCGCCTCACACGGACCACTGCACGCCGCGCCTTTAGGTACGTTCAAACGGGCGGGTTCCGTTTGACCACAGTACGATTCGACACCGCTCGATTCGACACAGATTTATTCGACACCAAATTATTCGACACCGTACG